GTCATCATCCTTTTGGACCTGTCTGCTGCATTCGACACGGTGAATCATCAGATCCTCCTTCGCACTCTCCAAAAACTTGGAGTTTCAGGCTCTGCACTTTCCCTCCTCACCTCATACCTCAAAGACCGTACCTATAGGGTGACTTGGAGAGGGTGTGAGTCCGACCCTTGTCACTTAACTACAGGGGTCCCTCAGAGCTCTGTTCTTGGTCCCCTCCTCTTCTCCCTGTACACAAACTCGCTCGGATCAGTCATTAGCCCGCATGGTTTTTCATACCACTGCTACGCTGACGACAACCAATTAATTCTGTCCTTTCCCCGCTCAGAGACCCAGGTCGTCGCACGCATCTCTGCTTGTCTAGCTGACATCTCTCAGTGGATGTCTGCTCATCACCTCAAGCTCAACCTTGACAAGACTGAGCTGCTCTTCCTTCCGGGAAAACATTGTCCCACTCTTGACCTAACAATCAACATCGGCACCTCAGTTGTTTCCCCGACTCAGACTGCAAGGAATCTGGGTGTGACCCTAGATAACAACCTGTCCTTCACTGCAAACATCGCTGCTACAACCCGTTGCTGCCGATACACGCTTTACAACATCAGGAAGATACGTCCCCAGCTGACACAGAAAGCGACACAGGTTCTGGTCCAGGCTCTCGTCATCTCACGCCTAGACTACTGCAACTCCCTCCTGGCTGGTCTACCTGCATGTGCCATCCGACCTCTGCAGCTCACCCAGAATGCAGCGGCTCGTCTGGTCTTCAACCTTCCTAAATTTTCCCACACCACTCCGCTCCTCCGCTCCCTTCACTGGCTTCCGGTAACTGCTAGAATCCACTTCAAGACACTGGTACTTGCTTACCATGCTGCGAATGGATCTGGCCCTTCGTACATCTAGGACATGGTTAAACCGTACACCCCAGCGCGTGCACTACGCTCTGCATCAGCCAAACGACTCGCTGCACCCTCGCTGCGAGGGGGACCCAAGTTCCCATCAGCAAAAACACGTGGGTTTGCTATCCTGGCTCCAAGATGGTGGAATGAGCTCCCCATTGACATCAGGACAGCAGATAGCTTGCACATCTTCCGGCGCAAACTGAAAACTCATCTCATTCGACTCCACTTCGAGCGATAGATTTATTAACAAAGCACTTATATACTAATAAAGGACTGGCTTATCTAAAGCCAGTTGAGTAGCACTTGAAATGTTTGGCTCTATGAAACCTGATGTACTTATATGATTCTGTTTTCTTCAAGGTTGTGTCTTCCTGGTCGAATGTACTTATTGTAAGTCGCTTTGGATAAAAGCGTCAGCTAAATGCAATGTAATGTAGGGCTTTGTAAGTGAGCAGTAGGTTTTTGAAGTTGATACGGGATTGAACAGGGAGCCAGTGGAGTTGGATGAGGATGGGGGTGATGTCTTCGGAGGCCTTGGTGCCGGTGATGATCCGGGCTGCGGAGTTCCGTATGATTTGTAGTTTATTGATGAGCTTGGTGGGTATGCCTGAGAGGATGGCGTTACAGTAGTCGATGCGGGACGTGACAAATGCATTGACCAGGACTTCAGTGTTTGATTGAGAAAGGGATGGGCGGAGTCTGGAGATGTTGCGTGTGTGGAAGAAGGCAGTCCGGGTGATGTTATTTATGTGAGGTGAAAATGAGAGGGAGCTGTCCAGGATGACACCAAGGCTCTTAACTTGTCCAGAGAAGGGGATGGAGTAGCCATCAATTATGAGGTTGGAGGAAGGGGAGGATGAGGTTTTGGAGAGGGTGGTTTTGGTGCCAACCAGCAGGGCTTCGGTTTTGCTGCCGTTGAGTTTTAGGAAGTTCCTGCTCATCCAGCTCCTGATGTCCTGGAGGCAGTTGGTGAGAGAGGTTGGGGGGAGGGCAGTGTTGGGTTTGCTGGAAATGTAGACCTGGGTATCGTCGGCGTAACAGTGGAAATGGACATTATGATGACGGAGGATAGTGCCAAGGGGGAGTAGGTAGATAAAAAACAGGAGTGGACCCAATACTGACCCCTGAGGAACACCATGTGAGACAGTGGAGCAGCTTGACCGGTGGGTGCTGAGACGGACATATTGTTTTCTGTCTGTGAGGTAGGATGAAAACCATCAGAGTGCAGTACCAGTGATCCCAATGTCTGCCACACGTATGATAAGCAGTGCGTGTGAGATGGTGTCAAAGGCAGCTGTGAAGTCAAGGAGGATTAGGATGGTGAGCAGTCCAGAGTCAGCTGCACGGAGGAGGTCGTTGGTGATTTTTACCAGCGCTGTTTCGGTGCTGTGCTTTGAGCGGAATACCCGATTGGAAGGGTTCATGAAGGTTGTTTTTGTCCAGGTGTTGTTGAAGTTGGTCAGCAACCACTCTTTCAAGGGTTTTTGAGATGAAGGAGAGGTTAGAGATGGGCCTGTAGTTATTCAGGTCATCTCAGTCAGCTCCAGGTTTTTTGAGTGTTGGTGTTATTGCAGCAGTTTTGAGGTTTGGCGGTACAGTTCCAGTTGCGAGGGACGAGTTAATGATTCTTGTGATCAAGGGGCAAGTAGAGGGCACACAGGTTTTAACGAGGGCAGTGGGTCGAGCTGACAGGTAGTAGGTTTGGATTTACGGATAAGCTCAGTGATGGAGAACTCAGTAGCTGCCGAGAAATTGGACAGGGTGGGGATTAGCTGGTGACTGGTGGAGCTCAGCCACTGTGGGTCGTCTTTGGAGGTTGTAGATGCAGCCAGTTGCAGGTGGATGGTGTTGATTTTGCTATTGAAGAAATTCAGAAAGTCATTGCAATCATCAGATGAGATGTCTGTGGGGAGGGTTGTGGGAGGTTGAAGTAGGTGTCTGACGGTTGAGAAGAGGTTTCTTGTGTTACCTTTTCCAGAACTGATGAGGTTGGAGTAGTAGGAGGACTTAGCTGTGGTGAGTGTAGAGGAAACTTCTGTGTAGCAATGCAGTGGAGTCACCGACTCAGGAAGGAGACACGGGAAGAGACGGAGCTTTGATGTCAAACCACTGTGATTTATTTGGAGTTTCTGGCCAGAGTATTCACATCACAAGTCACGGCAGTCATGGTGAGACTGCACGGGTGGGTTGCCACGTCAATTCTGGAGAGCCTGTCTCTTACTAGCCCATTTAACTGGTTCCACAGAGAGTCATCAACATGTTTTGATAAGATAGCTTTAGATAGTTTGGGCACACTAAGTTACCAGCTTCCGCCACTTATGGCCTTGGATATGTCATGCCCTGGAGTCCTCAGACAACAGAGAAGGAAGTGTCCCAGTGTACCCACAATACAGACCATCTGTGACCCAGTATTGACCGGTCACAGAATGGGAACAATAACATTATTGGCTGAAGCAGCCTGTGTCCTTAAAGGAGGTAAACAGACGTCAAGGTTTGTCCTGTATGTCACATCTTGGCGTCTATGATAATTATTTCCCTAACAGTGAGGGCGTTCTTGTAAAGGCAGAGATGTTCTTTGTAGAGCTGAATGTGGATTAAGAGTCCAGTCTTTTTGCACAGACATTCAAGATGCCGGCCAGTGGTTTTTAGCTGATGGAGGGCAGCAGTGTACCAGGGAGCAGTGTGCACAAATGAGACTTCAGGGGAGCAAGCGCATCCAGGGAAGATGTGAGACAGTTGTTGTAGCGACTCACCAGTTCAGCAGCGGTCAAGGAGGAGGATGGGGGTGGACTGGGCACGGAGGCAATAAGGGAGTTAAGGTCTCTGGGGTCAATGCGTTTGATGTTTCTGAAGGTGATGGTCCGCAGTGCTCTTGTTTTAGATAGGGGGACATTTACCTCAAAAAGCACAGATTTATGGTCAGAGATGGGGAACTCAGCATCAGTGAGGTTAAAAGGAGTGATACCGGTGCAACAGACTAGGTCTAATATGTGACCTTTGTTGTGGGTTGGGAAATTGACATATTGTGTAATACCAAGGCACTCAAGGAGTGAGATGAAGTCCTTTGCTAAACCATTAGTGGGGTTATCAATATGAATATTAAAATCACCCAGGAGGATGACAGTGGGGGACATAGCACATATTGTTGTTAAAAAGGCTGAGAATTCTGTGAGGAAAGCAGCTGAGGGCTTCGGTGGTCTGTAGATAGTCACAATAATGGTAGGTTTAGATCCTGTGAATTTTATTGCCAGGCACTCAAACGAGGAGTGATGAGGGACAGTGACAGTGGTGAGTTTCATGTCTTTGCGGTAAAAGACAGCAAGGCCACCACCCCTTCCAGTCACACGGGGTTCACAGACATAAGCAAAGCCAAGAAATGCTGCTCAAAAGGTCATTTCACTTTCCGGTTAATGATTACTCTACAGTTGTTGACCGTGTGAAAATTAGCATGATAAGCAGACTAATACAACTACTGTTGAACAACTTATCTTCTCAGATGATAAATCTAGTAATGATTTCTCGTCCCGCCTCTCATATTTACTGGAATAAATGCATAAATACCTACTTAATATAACTTTAAACCTGACCAAAGAACAAGACTAATAACAAAACAAACCATCACATACTGACAAAACTAAAAAAAGAGTGACATGTAAACATTAAGAGTAGTGTCAACACATGTATTTTATCAATATAGCCATTTGCAAATGAGAATATCTGTCACACATTTTTGAAGATACAACGTAATAAATGTTGATATTGTAAAAGCAATATATTTTCCTTTTTAAACTTTTCTTCCTACTCGTAAATATTAGAAAATTATTAATAGAAACATAATTTCAAGTGTGAAATAATATGGAAATAGGCGTATTAGGATTACTGGATGGTGACAGGAAAGACACTTTTGAGGCCCAAATACTAAAAGCAGTTACACAAGGCCATCATTTTGTATTCCCAACATCAAAGTTGAACTTGTATTTATTTGATTTTCTTTTCATCAACCTGTAGCGCATGTTAGCAGTGATGAGGGAAAAAAATGTAAGCAATGCAATCCAGTAGCTAGCTAACATCTTTTATATCAAAACATGCACATTCAAAACTGTCTCCGAAGTTCTTAATTTTATTCCCAAGTTAATTATATTATATAACTTTGATTTTAACAAAAATGTAAATATTACACACTAACAGACTTCCTTATTTGAGATGCATCCTTCACCAAGTAGCAGAAATGATATAAATATTTATTAACATTCTCTCTTTACAACTTAGATTTAAGACTCTTGCAATATTCTGACCCAACATATACAATGACTTTCCAAAGCAGTGCATATCACCAGGATCAGGCATTTTCTATAAAAACATTTAATATACAATGCAGTCCCTTTTATTCACATTGACTACGGCAGAACCAATGACGTTTTTTTTAGGTTTCCAACAACAACTACCGCACATCCGACAGATTCCTGATGATAAATGTTTGTGCTCTGTGGCTTTAAAGTCTGAATTTAGATTTTTTTTGTACACAAATATCCCCATAATGTCAGTTCTTGTCACACGTTCTTCGTGGCCTTCTCATCACAAACTGTAACCACACTTTGACTCTAGTCTAGACTGTGACAAATATTGTTTTTCCTTCATTAGTGTTGAGGAACAGCAGCATGTTATTGGGTTTCAGTTATTATGGAGTGAACATTTTACTGCTCAGCGAGCTCTCGGGCCTCTTTCACCAGGTCCATCAGAGTGGTGAACATGGAGATGTCACTTGGCTGAAAACCCATCTTCTCGATCTGAGAAGAGAAAACAATCAGAAACATTTCAGATGAGTTTTTAACAGAACTTGGTGCAATTTCTAATTTCAATAACATTTGTTTAAAGTATACCTTTGTTACCAGATAAATGTGAATTGTTTTTATCATGATTATTATGTCTCTCCACCCGCAGCCTACCTGTTCCCCCAGGTATTCCACATCCAGTGCCAGTTGTAGTCGGATCTTGCTGTCGTCTGTGGGTCCACCGTTGGCTCCTGCTGTGGAGGTCATGCTTGCACCCTTTCTGGCTTGCTTTAAGCGCTTCAGACTCTCCTCCATCTTCCTCACTGAGCTCAGAACCTCAGAGATGGTCTCATAGTACCTGAACACAAGACGTAGGGAAATGAAAGCGGGTATATGTGTTGGTTGCAGCTGGAAAGTCTTATTAAAAAGGCAAGCAAAACAACTCTCAAGAAAGAAAGAAATCATCCTTCATTTATATAACATGTAATAGCTCGTTCTGTAGAAAATATCGGCACAGGCCCTTTCAAAGCTGGTAATGTAATAATATCTGGGTGTGTATTTATGTTTGCAGGTGTGTGTCTTACCTCTGTGTGCAGTCAGACAGTGCCACTCGCAGCCACTCTTTTGCTGTAGATTGGTGGACCAGCCCTGTTGAGTCAGTCAGTAACTGAACTAACGGCCGCAAGGCGTTGTCCATGTAGGCGGATGCACGCACCGGCACATCCTAGACAACACGTAAATTAATAAATATTACAATTTGTATTGACTGCTGAATTTAAAGTATTTTTCTCATGTTGCAGTTATCAAGATGGGTTTTGAGTCATATCCATCGCTTTCTATCTCAACAGCTAGAGATTTATATTTTTCTCGGTAAACTTTTGTTTCAGGCTACAATGATTGTACAATGTGACTGTAGAGCCTTGCAGTTGTCAGATGACATTGATGGAAAATATGAATAAAGATTCAGCATTCACAGATCCTTCAAGGACTTAGATCAGGTTCAGTGGCAAGGCACGTTTATTTATATAGCACCTTTCAACACAAGGCAATTCAAAGTGTAAATAAAACCTTATTTGTTATGTTCTCCTCTGAGCTACTGATTCCCAAATGGTGTGGATTTTGTCACAGAGAATGTTGATTAGGTTAAAAATTCCTTTTTATAGGGTCAAAAGGAAAATAAAATAAGTATATGCCACAGTTCCAAGTCCATTAGCCTTTGAAGCTGAACTGTTGATCCCAATCCAAAAAGTTTCTCCATGAGGGGATGTTACATGAGGAAATCTATGAGAAACATGTTGGTGTGCGTTTTTGCAGCTTCACTGACCTTATTAGTCCTGCGGTACAGTCTTGGGACCTCAGAGGCACTCTTCAGGAAGCGGCAACTGCGTTCAGTCAGATGCTGGGTCATCTTGATATTTAAAGTGGGAATGCTACTGGACAGGCAAGTCTTGGAATCCATTAAGGCGTCTGACAGAAAGGAGAAGTGCAAACATGGTCCGAGTTACCCTGGTGCTAAAGCCAAGAGCCAAGGAGTGATTCAATGAGTGACTGACATGTTGTGTTTGGAGATGTCATGATCTAAAGCCTAAAGGGGACTGAATGGATACCCTTTTAAATGTCAGTGAACACCAGCATTTTTTTTAATAAATAAGAACAGCAGATAAAATGCAATAATTTGATGTACGCGAAAGCAAATATTCAAATCAATTATTTTTTACTTATAGGCTTAATTAGTATGATGTGTTCTGTAAGATTATGAAAACCTCTGTTGGACTGAAATCTTGTTTTAATTTTGAAAAACTAAGGCCTGCCTTTAAATATTAGTGTCATGAAATCCTCCTCCATTCTCATGTACTGACAAAACATTGTAAGATCAAGCCAACACTGCAACGTTATTAAAGAAGCCAAAAGGAAGCTTACCTTCCACCACAGCAAAGTTTTTGAATCCAATCGCTTCTAACCGTATTCTGACCGTCTCTGACAACTCTGGTATCTGAGAGAAAACCAAGCAAGCTGTCAGTGTGGAAGCAATTAAGTAAATTAAGAAAAAAAAGGATTACGCGAGTTATCTGAAGAACAATTTTGAAAGATGTAAAGAACACGTGTAATGTATGTATTTAGTTTGTGTGTGTACCTGTTCCTGCAGCTTCTGGATGTCAGCTGCTATGTAGACCAGCTGTTTGGTGGACAGAGAGGCAGGACTCCCGCTCTCACTCCCCCCCGACGTCCGGCTGGAGGTGGAGGAGGCGGAGCTGGGCAGAGGCCTGGTCGGCTCTTTAGGTAACTCAGGCGTTGGAGTCTTAGTCAACACCTGGGCACACACCGATCAAGATGAGCAACAAGAGAAATCGACAGCAACATTTCTATTCATTTGCATATTGCTCTTTTTTAAGGTTACCCTCGTCAAGAAACTTGGCATATCGTGCGTAGAGCTGCAGCGTGAGCTTCCAGAAGCGATGTGCCAGAGGGGACAGGTAGACTTTGTCTGACCAACATCTCATCAGACACGACCACAACACCTCCGACACCTGCAGGTGGAAGGCACTGCCAGCTGCTGATGAACACACACAGATAAGTGACTGCAGGGAGAGTATCAGCTACACACGGGCATTCATGACAGAGAATTATTCCTACCTGGTGCAGCCTCAAGTCCATCACTGATGGCGTTCTCCAGACTTCCAGCAATTTCCTTGTACCTGGAAAACCGTGAGACAAAACAATCAATGTGCTATCGGCTTATTTCATTTATCAGCTCTGACGTGCAAGTGTTCATGACTTGTAACAACACTGTTAGAATAAATTGACTTTCCGGAAAAGCTGAACAGTGCAGGTTTGTGTTGTGAAAGAGGCCTAATCTTTACAGTGAGAGTGTGAGTGTGCAGGGGCGGTGGACACAGTGGACATTTCTCTACTTTTTCATACGAATCAATAGCCGTTCAGTCAAGGTCCAGTGTCATGTTTATGGGAAATGTTTTTATAATAAGCTGACACATCTGGAGTTTACATTTAGCTTCTTTTCATCATTCTTTAGGAAACTCAAACCCATAAGATATTTTTTCACATTTCTATCACAATAGGCATTCTTTATCGTCTGCCAACTTGTGTTTTTCCACAAAAAATGCTGGCAGGCTGCAATTTTACAGCTTGTCTCTTGGGTTCTTCAAAAAGCATGCTGCGCAGAAAATACACCCGCCCTCCCAACGTCCGACTACTTTCGTTTAACTTGAAGGGTTTACATTAAGATCAAAACACACATATTATCCACTGCCTGCTAGTAAAAAGAATATAAGCTAAGGTTGTGATTATGTTTGAGTTTCTTTCTCAAATCAAAAATCTTTTTATTTAGTTTTCGACAATCAATAAGCAATGTTTGTCATATAGTAATGGTAAACATCATATATGAGTTTCTTTCTAAACCAAAATAGCTTGAAGAAATAGTTTTATATAACAAAATGCTATAGATATTGATTGTCAGCTACAAATAGTGACATGTAATGGTCAGACACTGATCTAATATCACATATGAACATCTGATTAGCACTTCTAAAAAAGAATATGGGCAGCCAAAAAGAAGAAATACATTGATTTTCTTTTATAACTTTTACAAGAAAGGACATAATGGTATTTCCGATATTAGCAACCTATTCCCTACAATTAGTATTTGTAAAGCTCTTAACAAATCCGAACAGCTTTCAATTTCAAAGGATGTATAGAAATGTGAAGTCCAATATGATGTTAGGTGAAGCATACAAATGTGCTCTTAAAGGAGATATAACTGGCTATAGCAGGGGTCGGCAACCCCTGGCACGCGTCCAGTGGCACACTAGGAATAAGTGGAATAAGTCTGCAAAATATTATTAAATTGTATTTTCTGATCCTGAACGAGACCGCCGCCAGAGCGCGTCTCCCCGTGACCTGCAGAAGGAAGCCATGCACACAACGCAGCCCCGCTCTCTTTATCTCCAGTTGACTTTCTGCCGCTTTCCTCCGTGGTGCAGTGCTGATCGTTTCACCACGGAGGAAAACACTTCACAAATTGCAGTACCCATAAGGAGCTGTACAAATGCCGCAGTTTTTGCGTGGCTGTGTCTTTAGTTGAAAGCCCAGTGGCGATCTGCTCATCTCTCATCGAAATAATATGCTACAAAGGGGCGGACTGGCCATCTGTGTGTTGAACTTTCCTGTCGGCTCCCAGACCGCAGTCGAGGAGGGCAGAAGCAACAAGCTTCAGGTTCAATAACCCACTTTAGCTTAAATGACTGGAGAGAGGCGAGCTCTTCTTGGGAGGCCGTTGCGATTTTTTTTTTTAAATGGCACTTCATATCAAAAAGGTTGCCGACCCCTGGGCTATAGTGTACCCTGTGTGACCTATAGGCTGTAGTATGTATAGATCATATTAATAATGCACCTTAGTTGAAAGTAGACAGGCAGGTTCCATTTGTTCTGGAAGGTGGTGTATGAGGGGTGAACTCTCAGTCTCTTCACACTGGCCTGTGAGCTGCACTGACGCTCAAACCTCCGCACAAACTCCATACTCTCGCTGTAACGCTAGAAAATAAAAGGACAACAGAAAACACACATAGGTGACGCTGCTCAACACTGAATCATGCCACACAGAAGTGAATGTTTGTGCACACAAATCGTGTCCCTGTGTCTGTACCTCAAAGAATATTTCGGGGTTTCCAGGGTTGAAGAGGTAGGACAATCTCTCCTCTATCCCTTTGATCATCTCAGGCCACACAGAGTTCACCAGGAAATCATAACCTGGCACTACGACAGATTTGTCACTGAGGAGAGAGGGAACATCAGCACATTATAAAGTATGAAATATCATCTACTTTCTACACTACGGTTTCATTTTATGCGCAGAATGTAGGATTAGTTTAAACATATTAAGTCAATTACGTATTGTAATTATATAAATATAAGAATACAGAATAAAAATGAACCAAAACGTCCAAGTAATCTATTCTAAAGTAATATCTAATACTGACTGAAGCATCATAAAGACTGCTATGGTGCTACAAATAGAAATGTGAGCTGAATACACTGAATGCAACAGTTCCACACATGAAAGCAGATGATTTGCTTTTCTAATAAGAGCAAGAGGATTTCAAAGCACAACCAACATTTTGAGGACAATAAAGCCGCTGGGTCTTTGTGGTGATCCCAGACAGGTGCCCTTTGGATCCTTTGCTTACTCCCCTTGTACGTTTCCCCACTGTGGGACAAATAAAGGCTTTCTGATTTTAAAGAGGAATATGGTCTCAACATTTTGGGAAAAAAACAACCGTTGGCATTTTAATAAAAAATTACCATGTAAAAAAAAAGGTATCTTAATGTTGCACACATATGGATGAAGATGGAATAAACCACAAAGAGTTGCTTGATCTATGCATGCTTTGAATTAATTTGCCTCCATGATAACAGCAATACCTGGATCTGGCTCCTCCAGTCACCTCTCTGAGCAGTCTGCAGTGATGAGGAACAAACTCCAACAGTCTGGAGTACATCAACTGGAGACCATTCGGACTGGACTTCACCACCTCTTCCACTATTACCTAAAATAAGGAAAAGAGAGGAGAGGATATTCTGTTAAACATATCTGTTATTTTAAAGTACAAACTCCCTTGGCTCTACAGTATATTGAAACATGTGTTGTATGTTTACCTGGTCCATGTATGGCTTGACCAACACCTGCCCCACCAGGGCCTCAGCATCTCGAGTCTTGTCTATGGTGGCGTACGTCCTCAGGCAGTGACACACCATGTCCAGGTTGGATGTTTGCAGACCCTCGATCAGCACGCCCTCCAGAGACTGCTGCAGCATGGAGGTGATCCCTGCGATACGCTAACAGAGGACACAGACAAGAATATATTCCATCAAACATCTGTATAAAAGTGAAAACTAGGATCAAATATTTGGGAAATATCGTCTGCCCTTAAACAGAAAGACTGCACCTTTTTTTTTAGCTGTTTGATGTTAACACTTACAGGTCTGACTTTGTCCAGTAGGGGCATGCCTTTGCTCTGTACAGCGTGGAACTGCAGCTGGTTGAATTCTGTAGCAATCCTCTCCAGGACCTGGCCTGCCAACAAGGGACTGTACAGAGGCAAAGAGAAAAAGTTAAGACACAATGGCTTAGTGCTACATTCCTGCAGCAAATAGCTAATACTATTTGAACCTCTGGCACATGGCTATGTGATATAGAGATGCATAAATTGAAACTCTTATAACGTGTTTAATAACCTGCCCACATTCAAATCGGTTATCGGTTAAGTGGTTCTCAAATGGGGGTACGCGGACCCCTAGGGGTACGTTGGAGTACTGCAGGGGGTACGTGAGATTTATTTTATGTTAATGAAAAAAATATAAATATACCAATATTAGGAAAAGTAACGAAGTTTGAGCAGTGTGGGTTTTATATTAATAGACTATATTAATAACTGCAGTTGTCTCCCTGTCAGAATGACAAAGATCCTCAGTGAAGCACAAGCCCATGTTTCTCACTAAATTGTAAGTACAACTCATTAAACAGATCAGTTCAATGCAACTAATGTCGTCTTAGTGTTATTGCATGATGTTAAAATTGGTTTGCCATGAATTTAGTGATGGATTGTAAACATTTGAAATGTAGCATTTAAGTGTTTCTCAGTTACAATGTTGTTGTTTTAATAAATCAGACACTGATGGTGCAGCGCTGTACTGTACCTCTTTATTTTTTCAAAAGGGGTACATTATTGAAAAAAAGTTTGAGAATCACTGATCTAAGTGATACCAGTGGTTTTGAGCATAGATGAGTGTCCAACCTGCTGATTTCCAGGGAGCCAGATTCCTTGGAGTTCTGCGAGTTGAGGATCTTCTCAATTTTCTCCACCGAGCGCACCACCTGAATCAGCCTCAATACACACACCTGATGGATGGGATATTGCCAGGTTATGAAAATATTTAAACTCTTTAAAACAGGATTATAATCCATGTTGCACTAAAAATAATTTGTTGAGGCAACACTGGGTTTACAGTTTGGTAAATCATCCTAAAGTATATTTAATGATGAACTCTAAATATGATCAGATGAAGATGTCAGACAGGAAGAGGACGAGCCAAACCTTCTTTTTCTGCAGATCTTCCTGTTTGGTTAGCTGGTTGTCTATAGCCTGGATCACCTCACTCACACAGGACCGCAGACTCTGAAACAGACATCAGGAAGAAACATTCATGAACACTGTAACAGGGATTTATCAAGGTTTCAGTTAACTTCACACAAAAACATACCATAACCTCCTCTCGTAACTGTCCCAACGGCACAGAAAGCTGATTGAGGGCTTTGTCCATCCCCACCTGAGTCAAGGGAAGCAGAGGTCTAAGATTAGGGTCTGTCTACTATCACGTTATCAGATTTACTTAAAAAACAAAAAACTGCATGGTATGCTTCCTTTTTGACCACCATTATAAGACCCCATATTTTGAGGCTGATACTGATATTGATAGATAAGAAAACAAACAAAATAACAATCAAGATTGTTCTTTTAAGATAATTTAAGCATACTTATTTTCAGTTTAAAACAATACACCACTTAAAATATAGATTTACAAGAAAAGCAAACTAAGAAATACATTCTTTGAATGTGTAGGTTAGGCTCCAGAAAAAAACCATCTGAACAAAAATCATGACAGTTTATATTTAAGGTAAAGCTTGTCACTTGGACATCATATAGATCATATTTTTTGATAGACGCCTAACTGAATTGCCTTTTTTGTTTACTGTTGATTACAAGCTGCTGATTGCAAGGTCTAAAATGTACAACCAAATTCATTACTGACCAGGTTGGTGGAGAGGTTAACAAAGTCGGCGTAGTCCTTATTGATGAGCTCCACCATGGCTGTTTTCAGCAGCTTGTAGTAGAGCTCCAGGTCCTCCCTCATCTCCTCCATCTGGACCTGCTTCCGACACTCCGCCACAAACTGGTCCACGTCAAAGTCATCCTGCGAGAGTAACACCAGACAGAGCAGTCGTGTACAGGTTAATACAAGGTTTATATAAAAGCAGCCAGTCATGCATGGCACAACCAGCATTACTAATGGAGAGAAAGTCGACTTTAGCTACAGAATGACGGACCAAAAATACAAATGTAGGCACCTGATACTGAATGAACACATTTGTATTCATGAAACACGTCATTTGCTGTGATTGCTCATGTTCTGTAAGGGTAACGTTTGACATGTCCGACATTAACAACATTAGCTAGGATCGTGAATGTGTACCAAACATGTGCAAACATTATTAGGTATTATGTATTCATAAATAAATAATACATGTTTAAGGAAGATAAGCAGCATCCAGTATGAACATTCAACTAGCTAATGATAGCTAGTTTAACAACATAAGCTTTATATAGCGTGTTAACAAACGTCCCGTTTTTTCTTACCTTCATAAAAACATCCTTATCGAAGCACAGCGAATCTGGTCCCTTTGGTAGATTCATATTTGATTATAAAATACAGCTACAGCATAAAGTGTAAATGTAAGAAGCCTCCAGCTATCTGCTAGAAACAAGCTTCCGCAAACATGGCAAGTGCACCAACGAAGAAGAGTCTGGAGGACCACTGACGCCATAGCGACCTCTGGAGGCCAGATGGGGTACACTGAGGCGAGGCGAGGTTCATGCTTATTAACCTGTTCTCACCATAAAAAAGTTAACAAAATATTAAATAAATACAATACAAGTAACTCCATTAAATGGATAATGAGTTCAATGCTGGCTTATCTGCTTTCTATTTTTTAGAAAGCAGGCTATACGTTGACGCCATGGTTGACCCGCTATCATTTGGACTGATTTTACTGTATTTTACATCATTAAATCAAAGTCAACACATGACCAGTATGCAATCTACCAGAGGTTATGCCATGTAGTCTGACTCTAAACAGTTAACACGTTTAATTAACGAACAATATTTTTTTAATGAAATAAACATGTCATACAGAAAGACAAAATAAGAAATAAATGAATAAATCATTAGGTTACTAAACATGTTTTTTTAATATGTATGGCCAGTATTACATGATGGAAAATATTAGCTATTTCATACATATTGTCATGCATTTGATGTATTATTGGCTCACCATTAATAATCATAATTGTTCCACATCTTATCTCCATCATCACCATCCTCCTGTAATTTGTTATGAGAAAATGCATCTTATTGGACGACAGTGCAGGGCTGAGGAATCAGGTGATGCAGCGGCAGCCACTACTCTCTCTATTTGCTGTATTTGTAGGGAAATCACTGGTCTCTCAACCCGGATGCTGTGCCACTACTATCGATAATTTTGCCCAGTGCGCAGCGCTTTAGGCAGAGCAAGGAGGCGGAAATATTTCAGTACCCTTGAAGCGAACAGCGCTCCCGGGATCCGCACGCTTTCTGAACACCGGGCTCCTCATCCAAGCCCGGCGAGCAGGCAGGACTATATTCATACCGGGGTTAGGGGACGGTGCAGCGGTCACGGTAAAGCTCTTGCAACATCGTGACAGTTGCACGCTGCTGTAGTGGAAGGGTGAGAGAAAGGGAGGAAGAGAGAGAGAGAAGGGGAGCATCAATACAGAGAGAGATGGCGGAGTGCGGGCGGAAGGCGCTGTCTCTCCTGGAAGCGGCCCGCTCCCGGTACGAGAGCCTGCAGATATCCGATGATGTGTTCGGGGAGTCCGGGGATGACAGCAGCGACAATCCCTTCTACAGCACCTCCGGTGACTCCGACTCCGGGGACTATATTGCCGAGGTGGGTGAGGAGGACCAGCAGCAGCCGCAACACCACCACCACCACCACCAGAAACGGGGCGATAAGGAGGGCAGTGGACACCGTGGGGGGTCCGGAGGGGGCGGCGGTCCCCCGGGCGCCCTGTCCCGTAGTCAGGCGGAGGAGGAAGGCTGGACGGAGACTCTGCAGGATGTCACGGTGCCGCCTTTCAAAGAGACATATGGTGAGACATGATGCATGACAACACGAATAGGGTAATGTGCAGATGAATTGTGTGTGTGTGATGGAGAGACAGTCCTTGTTCATGTTTGTCAGGTCAGACAGGACATTTCTGTGGCCATTGTGCCAAAACAGCACACAAAAGGCTATTGCTTTGGAACAACTGGACGCTTGTTTCATTTTCGGTGTGTGCGTGCATCCTAGTGAGTGACAGTAAGAGAAGCATGACTCTGCATCGTTAATTGATGTATCAGGTTAATAACTAACGCTTAGCCTTTGATACCTCGCCCCTTGGTGCTGTGGTTCACATGCTGTCCTGTGTGAGGGCGTGTTCATGTTTCTGGGCAGGGAGACATGCTGTTTAGTTCAGAGAATCAGCATGATGTCTCTCCTGGTTGTACACATATACAGTATGAACACACATTGCATAATGAATAGTGTACTGAATGCCTATGTATGCAGAATCAGATGCACAAATTGTGGCATCAAGTTAGTTAACAGAACTCATAACTATATTAACATTAGTCACAAGGCACTCCAAGTTTGGTTGCACACTTTTTGCTTTGTCTGTGTGTCTCTCTTTTTGTCTCATTCTGTCTTTGTGATAAGCATTCTGTTTAAACCCCAATGCTAGCCAACATGTATCAAACTGACTGTCTCTTTCTCAGAACAGTTTTTATCCATTTATCTATCACTTACACTATACAATATGTATCAGGGAATGGAGGGTGTGGGTGTATATTGCAGTGCCTTCTGTCAGGCTTTGCTTGGATTTGCCCCCTCTAAACACTTCTGCCTCATGTGAAGCATTAGCAATGGGTGTAAAGGCCGTCCAATATCCACTGTGACATGTTGCACTGTGGCACCATTGGAGGTGAATCAGCATATGGCTGTAGCAGATATGGACCAAGCTCCATTTTAGCTCATAGAAACACACATTGCAGCATTCATGTAAAATGTATAAAAGCACATATTTGACTGTAGTTAAAATGGTGAGGAAACCACAGAAAATCATGCAAACTGCATTGGTTGTATGCAAACATTTGTTTTTGCAAGCTGTTTTAATGCAAAAGGAAAATATATGCAGGCTCGGGCTTAACATTACAAATAAAAGACCTGATATGATCAAGACATCAGATAAAAGTTGTAAACTATTGTGTTTACTGTTGTTATGTCTCCCAAATTGAGGTGGTGTTATTGGCCTGTCCCGGATAGCAGGATTACCGGACAGGACACCAAACAAAACCCAGAACAGCTCTGTTTTCAGCCAGCCTGCAGCTGACTTCAGTAATCCTGCTTTGCGAGACAGGGCAGATATAGAGTGGTTTATATTTCAATACCAAAAGTTTGGGCACCAAAAAGGGTAATTGGGTGAGGCTTTAGGATTTCCTGTACTGACTCATCCAGCTCTATCCTGCTTTGTTGACCTATGCTTGTGAAGCAGCAGGTGTGTCCGTCTGCTTTGTACAGCCTGGTCTGTTTTTTAAGGACACAGTTTGTGTCTGTTTGCACAAGGCCTGTGTGGGTGTGGTCTCGCCATCTTGCATCAGGGTGGAGATGATAAAGAGCTGCCCCCCTGGATAGAAGCAGGACAGCAAAGGAGCATAATCTCACTTCAGACCTCAAGTGATCAAGAGCTTACTCTGATTTTATCGGCTGTAGCAGTAACGTCAGATTGCATCTTGAGCATCGGCATATCAACATAAAAATGCTTCTCTGATTTTAATGGCACGTGATGGTAAACTGCTTAAGCTATGAGGTTTTCCCCTAAGGTGGATTCAGTGACATGTTTATCACATGTCTGGATTTCTCTGTCTAGCTATCGGCGCACCCTTTTCTCACCTACCTGTCTGCCTCCCTGTCCATTTCTCTGTCTGTCTCTTTGTCTCACTGTCTGGCTGAGACAGTGCTGACACAGTCCCAGTGCTAATGTGACAGCTCCCCTCCTTAAACACTGTGCACCCCGTACATAAATCATCAGCAACCGTCAGAAAGCATCCAGTCAACTTCTTACGAACTGGAAGTGGATTTGGGTTGTTTAGATAGTAAAGCAGCTCCTCCTTGGTTTTTAACCAGCAGCGATGTCTATAAGCCGGCTGAGTTTTTTTTCGCTTGCATAAAAATGTGGTTCGCCCAAGGTCAGATTTATAGGTGAGGTGTTTTGTTCATCTCAGCGAGAGACTGTTGCCCCTGAGAGGTTGAGGCAAAGGCCAAAGCCAAGGATTATGAAGCATACTTCCACATCTCAGATTATATAACAATTTATCCTGATGTTCGAGGGAATTAAAGATCTATTTATTCATTCACTTTGCTGGGCATGTCTAATAGATGACTGGTACTCTCCATATGTAAGTTTCTCTGCATGGCTGCATATTTCCGTCTGTGTGTCCTGTTTGCCTGTTGCCTTGTACCATGGCAGAGTCATTTTGAAAAAATATGTACACAGACAAACACAGTGAAGGTTGCATGTATAAAAATAGAAGTCTTGTCAGGTATATTTACTGGCTGTTTGACAAGAAGGCTCTGACTCTACAACAGAATCACAATCAGAAACAGCTTTATTGCCAGGTAGGTTCGTACATACTAGGAATTTGACTTAATGTCATGGTGCATACATACAATATAAAAAACAAGAAATCTAATATAAAACAAATAATCTTTTACACCGTAATAAAATACAGTTAAATAGCAATACAAATTAAATAAAGCAGTGATTTACATGGGAATAGAATGCTATGAATGAATTTTAGAATATAAACTATGAAATGTGAAATAAGAATATGTGCAGACAGGAGTATGAACATTGAGTGCGTTAATTTAGTTTAAGAGGCCGGTAGCGGAGGGGAAGAAACACACACTTATCCAAATATTCACAAAACAAAAAACATGCTGAATGTTTATAATAATAAATGCCCATAGATGGAATGAAAACACTAAATGAGGTAATATCACTTATTTTCATAGGGGTGTGTTGACTTACAGTTGAATTGTATTGTATTAATCACAAATTAAAGAAATGACAAAAGGTAAAGAAAATAAAGGGGAAACTAAATCACAATCAGATGCTCATGTTTGCATTGTCAAATTCACATATAACTGACAATTTTATACAGTACAGTATGTTACTGGATACATCATAATAAGTGCTAACAACAAGAGCCATCTGGACATCTTTTTAAGGCTTTTGAAAAAATAAACAATCATCTATTTAATATCAGGATTTTGTTGAGTTATGTCATCCCAAATTCTGACTCTTAAATCCTCATAGTAGTGTACGATAGAACATTGACTGAAATGATCACATTGCATTGCTACTTTTTTCTGATGCACAGCAACAGAATACAGATATTTTTACAATCCAAATATAACATACATTTTATTGACATAAAAATATTACTATTTTTATTTGCTTGCATTTCAGTATGGCCATAGCTGGGATTCGTCTGAGAAAATAATTATAAATGGCTTTCAAATCCATGTGGTCTTTCTGTAATTTCCGCTAGCTTAAAACATGTTTCGTCTACAGGAAGGGTTTATCTACTAAACACATTAATCTCTCATTCTCAAATCCATGGCTATAAAAGCTCTACCAGGCAGACGTGTGTCCCTTAGCAAATATAAATACTACAACAGCTGATCATCATGAGGGATTACTTGGGTTTGTAGGTGCAACGTAGCGAGTTGTGTAATGTGGGAAATTGATATGTCGAACCTTTCTATCTACAGAGACATTAGCTAATATTAGTAGTCTGAAAGAAGGAATATGTAAGTGTTTGATTCCATTTAATCAGCATGATGTAGGTTAGATCAACTGGTAGATCTACAGAGGAACAGATTAAAACAGTCCATTATCGTAAAAAATAATGAGTTCTTCCTCAGTTTGTATTTTTGTGGTGAGTCACTGTGCATCGTATGGCCTTACATCTGAATGTCTGATGTTTTTGATGGAGGAGTGGCTTGCTTAGGGGAAGTCATGCTTGATTTTTCATTCAGCTTTCAAGTCTAATGGAAGGCAAATGAGAGGATTTCAGCTCGTGGCACACCACTCCTGCTGTCTCTGCCTCGGCATAGCATCAGTTCTGTGGGTGTGCTTTGCTTGTTTCCTCTTCTTGTCCTCCTCCACATGTTGTTTAAACAATTAAGGTTTAAACCCTGCACACATTATCTTTAACTCAACATTAGAAGTCTGAAGCCATCGTGATTGTGGTTGTAACCGCTCAGGAAAGGAGAGACGATGGATTGAGAAACCTTGTTCTACGCTGTTCAGGGATAATGAGATCGTGCTGTTCAATTTACCCTGAAGTTGTTCTGCTCGGCATCCAAATTTCCTCTCACGGATCTAACAACCTTAGAGAAAATCTCTAATTCATTACAAGAGCAAACACATCAAGCCAGTTGTTGCATTGTGTATTGATTGTGTAGCTTCAATGCAACACCTAAAAGCTAGCAGATAAATTGCTTTTAAATGGGAGGTAAACGCCACCTTCCCCTCGGTAAACTAGTGAATTAGAATATGAAAGTACCATGCTGCCATTTATTTTATTATTAATCAATTCTTCTCAGCTATCTATTTTATGAATGCAGCCATAACGTATAGCTTAATGCCTATAATAATTATAACACATATTTTATTTTAACTTTTTCACCAGTTAGAAAAGTTGCTTTCAAATATTTCAATTGTTAACCCATTACTTTATGCAAGTAACTGTTTAAAGCTATAAGATACATTAATTCATTATTTGATTATCCATCAATTTAATTGAACCTTTCACTAAATATTAATTAGCTCAACCTTACAATGTACCCCTTAATTTAAGATCACCAGTTTCCCTGTGTATTACTTGAATGCTATGTTAGATGCATTCATCTTTTGGTTAAAAGATAAGCTGTTTAAACAAACCTTTATCGTCAGCTGATGCTTTACTGACGGTATGACTTCAGATCTCTTTCATTCATGGCACCCTCCTGACCCGACTAACGGATCAGAGCATGATTTTGACTCACTGTGTGACATAACAATAAAGCAGCGAGACACTGAAACCTTCGACAAGCGTAGAAACGCCACGCTGAGACACAGATCACAGTGTGGCGGCTGTCATGTTGTGTAAATGATCTAACCGCTGCCCTGGGCGCGTGACATTCAAACCAAATACTTCTGTGGCTGATTCATCAGAAAGCACAGCGATTCTTTATGAAAGTTGTATTTTAAGACTATTTATACGATGTAAGTCTACCTTATTAATGGATGTTTCCTCCGTATTCTTTTCTAATGAAGTGACATTGTCAAGAAACAGTTTGTATGCTTCCCTCACAGCATATACAGTGACAGCTCATCAAAATCTAATTTTGTGTGTCAAAAAATAAACCTTTTATTGAGTCAGTCTCTAAGGCATTTTGCCAAAGGTTGAAAACTAGGATTAAGTGACAGTTGTGTCTGTGAGTAAGCCCATATGGGACTCTCTCTCTATCAATCTGTCTGTTTTCATATCATCATTTTCCCCCCTTGCTGTCCTGATTCAGGCCCTGCTCAGAAGATGACGTCCAGCGCCACAGCCCTGGACTTCTTCCAGCTCTTCGTCCCAGATAACTGCATCCAGAACATGGTCACCCAGACCAACATGTATGCCAAGAAGTTCCAGGAGCGCTTTGGCTCAGACGAGGGCTGGCGTCCCGTCACAACCCAGGAGATGAAGGCTTTCCTGGGCTTCGTCACCTCCACCAGTGTGCAGCGCTGCGAGTCCGTGCTCAGCATCTGGAGCTCGGGCTTCTTCAGCAACCAGAGCATCGCCTTGAAGATGAGCCAGGCGCGCTTTGAGAAGATCCTCAAGTATTTCCACATTGTGGCTTTCCGGCCGTCACAGGGGAGCAACCAGGGCCTGTACAAGATCCAGCCCTTCCTGGACTCGCTGCAGCAGTCCTTCAGCTGCACCTTCAGACCCTCACAGACACAGGTGTGTGCTCTCTCCCTCAGGACTGCTTCTCTCTAAGCATTGCATATACGCTGGACAGCTAGGTGCTATTTTGTGCATATATTTACATATATTTTTCCTCGTACTGATTCTCTGTTCAATACCTTTTTTTTTTACATTTTATTAAAGAACACCCAAAGGTCAAACTGATTTAACAGCACCGTTGACATTAAGCTTTATACCTTTCCTTTTTAATTTCTCATGAAGTATTCCAAGAAATATGAGGAAACATCCAGAGGTCATCTTCAGCAGACAAAATGTTCAGACACATTTTTAAGTCTAAATATTAGCCACACATTGTCAGATCACTGTTTTCTTGTTAACAGCACATGTTTTACCCCTCAGGTATATATATATATACATGTACATGCACTGAATTGTAATATAGTAGCTTAGGAGTTCCCTAATTTGCTTGTGAAATAAAAAGGAAAAAGGAAATGTGCTCCCCATGTAGAGCAACCAGGTAGCTCCTGCAAAGAGGCGCAGTTTGAAACCCTGAACAAAGCCTGTGTATAAGTGTAGGCAGTCCTTTTTTACTTTAGGTCTCACTGTTTTCAGTTGCACTGTTTGTATCAGTCACATTAATGCAACTGGGCCACTGGAGCGCCAGCCTTGCTACTCTATTTTGGGTGGGCTGGACTTTTTTTTTCAGTTCCTACTTTTCTTTCTCCTGGATGAAAAGCAGCACTACAGTTTTGAAAAGAGCAGCGAACAAACAAACTGATTGAAGTGTTATCTCATCAATCAAATCCATATCCTTTCCACAAAGAGAGACACAAGCAATCATCAGCCTTGTTAACTTCAACCTGAAGAAAACAAGCTTACATGTGTGTAATTAAAAGATTGTGTTGTGGCAGTTCACAGAAGGAAAGGCATGCATAGCATATTATTTCCTCCTAAATTAGTCATTATAATCGTACTTAGCAGTGACTCATGTGGTTGGTTGTCATAACAATCAGGACACAGTATTGAGAGCTTTCTCTTTCGGCTTATTCTTCCATGAAGATAACAAATACAAATCACCTGACATCTTCGGAATTTGGTTAGGACGAGGGCACCCGGGTTGGCTATTTGTACATTCAATTGGATCTTATGCCACCCCTGCCCCTGCTGGTAAAATGTAATGAATTGCTGGGAAGGAGTTGATTAATTGCCTTTCTGCTGGATAAGTGCTATAACATCATCTTCATTATGAAAGATGATGCCGGTACTGTGATGCATTCGGAAATACAGGCTCTTAGCAACTCAGCAAAGGCCATCCTCGTATCACATCCACATCTCATTTAACAATGAATATTTTTGTTAACACAACTTGATGTTAACAATAATGAGTTTATTTCAATTTGAGGTAATTAAGGGGTTTCACTTTAACGCTTTCTATCCATTTGGGTCTAAAAACAACTCAATTGAAAGGAATCAGGGCAGACTGTTTGTCAGAGAGCGTGTGTGTAAGCAGTTAGGGGGTGCATGTGTATCTAGGCCAGTTTGTGTTATCCGTTGGGTTTCTGTGCCAGGGGCAGAAAGAGGGCCCAGATAGTGAAAATGGCAGAATAAAACTCTTGCTTCCCAGACGATTGAAAAGTGATCTGCTCATGTAATGACTGACACAGAAGGAATGGAAGAAGATAATGTGATGATTTGTGTTTGATCTGCTGTCTGTGTTCTTAATGAATCAATTCATCTTCACAAAATAGTGTAAAATGGACACTACAATTTCCAAAATTGTCACATCTATTACCAACTGTCCAAAACCAACCAATATTTAGGTTGATTTTATAGAATAAAACAAACAAATATTTACAATTCAGAAGCTGGAACAATAGATTTGGGTGCATTTTAACTAAATAACAAAGACCATTTAGATTATTACCATTTTAGCTGTACAATTCTGTTGATCAACTTCAGAATTGTATCGACAAATCAATTCAGCTCCATTCTTTAAAAATGACAAGAACTATGCAGGATATTTATCTACATGTGAGTTAGTGTGACCTGGATTTATCTGCCACAAAGCATTATTCAACATTGTGTGCGTGTGTGAATATGAGTGATCGACATTGGTGCTGAATATTAGCATGCTATGTCAGATTATTTTCACATCGATGGAAAAAGGATGCTTTTCTGCATCAGTCTGGCAGTTTTGCTGAGATAATCTGTTGACACTGCTTTGTATTGATTTGCAAGTGTAAAATCTTTGTTGTAGATATCCACTGCTAGACAGCTAGTGATCGGATAGATCAATATCCCTCCTTTCTGTGTCCAATAAAGGATCAGTGAACCTGTGCAAATGATTTACCAGCAGCATTAATGTGCAAATGTAACCACATTGTTTTCATCGGTTAGGATTTGGTGTGGAGGAATATCTGGGAGAAACGAGTGCAGTACAGGAGGAGATAATTCTTAATAGGCCATTATGGTTTGGGTGATGTCATCCATCAAGTGGCTAGATAGCCTCGTTAATTTTTCCATTGTAAAAATCCATTACTCCATATTTGAATTGGAAATGAGTTGTCGCTTTGTCCTGGCGCAGGAGACAGCTGTTGGTCACTGCTCGCTTTAGCTTTAGTCAAATCCTGTCGGTGTGGGAGGAGGAAGACACTGGAGGAAGGGAGAGCCGAGAGACATTTGAAATGCAAATATATGTTTGTGTGTGTCTTTGGGAAATATTTGGCCAGGATTTATGTTTACCGCGCTAGTGTAATCATCCAAGATATTGTTTGGTTTTGTGGGAGTGTTCTGGTAATGCCCTGTTGGATTTGTGAATGTGTCTAATACTTTAATCCCTGTTGAAAAATGTCTCCTCATTATTTGGTCTGACCCATCCCAATTTATCAAGAGACAGTGAGCAGACCAAGGACATAATTCATCAAGAGGAAGACAGCGCAGTTCACCCTACTTTTAAAATGTACTTTGGCACTTCTACCAACATCATTATCGATTGTATTGATGACTACAACAGCAAATATATGCAGTAACTTCAGGAACAACAAACCAAATGACAAATACTATTTTAGTTTTCAGTTTCTAAGGGAAGTATCTTTTTATTATTTGAGAAGTAAAAAAGGAAGTGATTTAGGAAAAGTCTTTAATTATGTTCTCTTCATTACAATTACTGCTTGTTTTAAAGGTAGATGATGAACATGTATATAGTTAAATGTTAATATCTCCGTTGTATTTGTATGTGTTTATGTGTCATTTTATTTGTATCTGATTCCACTTGCACCATGTTTAGCAGACAGAACAACCACTCTTTGCTTCTTTGAGAGTCTTTTTCCCCGAAGCCATGTCTTGTCTATTTAGATTTATTTTTCAATTTGTTTGAAGCTAGAATACTCAAGAGCAGACCTTAAAAATACTGTCTTCACTTTATTTTGTTCATAAGTAGTAATGGAAATAAAGATGTAGTCAGACAAACGGAAAAGAACACTGGAGCGGATTAAATATGCAAAAGTTAAAGACAAAGCAACGAATAAAGCAATAAAAACAAATGAAAGCCATTCTTCTAAAGGGATCTTGCAGACAGTTCTGTTCAGTTTTGTCCGCGTTTTGCTGCCAAGAACATTCTTTTTTCTCTCACAGTATTGCACCCAAACACATAAAAGACTTGTGAAGAGTTTTGATTGGCTGCCTTCTCTCTCTCTCTAACACTCGCTGTTATGTTACATCATGCACAACCTCGCTATTATGCCTCACACAAAACACGTTTTATCCATCTCAAGGCCAGCTATTTCACATCGTGTACTTTACTTCTGACATGGTTATATAAAAATCAGGAGAAACACATGTAACATTGCCTCTGTGTGTTTCCAGGTACTTCATGAGCCGTTGATAGACGAGGATCCGGTGTTCATCACCACCTGTACGGAACGAGAGCTGAGGAAGAGGAAGAAGAGGAAGTTCAGCCTCTGGGTTCGACAGTGTACCTCCACCGGATTCATCTGTCAGGTAGCAGCAAACACTATTCATTCAGTGTACTCAGCCTTCACAAAACTGAAAAGTTTAAGTTCTGATTTGAGTGTAATAAGATCGAAGTGGGAGAAGTTTGTGTGTTTGTTTTGATGGTATTTTAAAGTGGTGCTTTCAAAACTCATGGTAGAAATCTTTTACATCAGAAATGTAAGAAAAAGTCTGAAGTCAAAAAGGCTTTTTGGAAAACACCTTTGATCATAACCAAAATTCAAATCGTATTCCCAGGTTGTCTCTGTTCATCATTTTTCATTCAGCCAATTATTTGCCTTCACTAGAAATAATTAAATAACTTTTCAGAATTTCAATGAGAACATTTGCACGCTTCACAAGCATGAAAGGCAAGGTTTGATTTTTTTTAAATGATCAAACTCTGCTAGAAGTGAGAAATGCCTTCTGGGCAAAAGTATTGGTTGTCAGATTTTTCTCTTGGTGTTTTAGATTTGAGTAGCTTCTGGCTCAGGATTACATCTCTGTTATATCTCAGGCAGGGCTGCTCTGCTCACTAACAACCTTGTCCTTACCGCAACCTGCCAGTCCTGCGCCGCTCACTTATGTAACACACACATTAACTGAGGCCAGAGACACAGGAGGACTGACAGACCTGACCATTACAGAGGAAGAAAACACAACAATTTCCTAATTGTCGACAAATTATGGAGACAGCCTGCTAACTGAGCCTGAGCTTGTGAAACACGATGCCCGGCCAGACTGCATGTGATAGCATACATGTTTCCGCAAATGCAGGTTGTTAAAGGGACTTTTCTCAATACACAAGCATCCACACACATAAGTTTGCACCGCTAAGAGGATGTTCACTTACACAACACATTTTCCTCCAGTGGTTTCTAGCTATAAAAGCAAGACTTTTTAAATTTGAAATACATTTCAAGTTTATATGAATCTATGATGAGGCCTTGGCAGTCTAAGTTGGTCACATCATGCGGTTCTCTTATCAAGTTGAAGATTTTTAGAAAATAAATCCTATATTTCTGTGTTAATCTCTTGGTACAGGATATTTGTCTCCCTAAAAGTGTTTAAAACATTTGAATTTCTCATCTTGTGTCAAGGTTATTGATGCCTGGTTTGAATTAAAGATTCACATTTTAATTAAGTGTCACAGAATGAGGACTTTGAAATGTGTCTCCCATCGTAAGCATTAGTGGCGCAATGGGAACAGATTTTTGAATCTTTCAGTGAGCACTAAACAGTAATCCATTCATTTGTATGATACTTGTATGAGATCAAGAGAATAATTTATCCTTTCTTGTTCAGGTTTGAGAATGACCTGCCCAATGACAAACTTTACTCTGCATTTAGAGGAATCTGGCAGGAAACATCAATACAATAATACATCATCGTAAAACTGCAGAGGATTATAAATAGAAAAACCAGGCACCAGACGACGCTGCAGGAGAAGTCCTTCTTTAGTCTGGATGTGGTCCAGAACCACATTAGTGTAGAGGGGACCAAACAAGAGCAGAATTTAAATGTTTCCTTTTACATTTTGTATTATCATTCCTTTATATCAAATAAAATAAAACAATTTATAATATTTCTTGTAATCCCAAATCCACTGTGTAAAACATACATATGCATCACAGAAGCCCATAACCCATGATCCCATCGTTTTAACAAATAAGCATTAACATTCACACTGACTGTGTGTTTGGGCGTCACTCAGTCTTTACCAGCCCACTGATGTGTGTCTGCACTGAGATCTTCCCTCTTTAAATGAATTGTGTCGAGGGAGAAAAAAATCCAAGAAATAAAACGAGTTAATGGAGTGAATCAATGAGATTCCATTAGCCAGTGAACCACACAGGAATACACAAACACACACACATATAAAGACACGCACACACACTGAGCACTTAGTGTAATAGCTAAAGACTCGACGTAGATGCTGGCTAATCAGGCTAATGCTGTTCTACTCGTGAACAACTGCAGGTATATGAGTTCAAGAAGGACACTGGACTGTGGATGGACATTTGTTTGTGTATTTGATATTGACTTTCTTTGGAAGCCAATGTTTATTTGGAGGTCTTTATAGGCATCAGTGTGTTGAGCTGAGAAGTACTGTTCAGTCTGCCTTGATCCAGAGTAACATATCACAACAACATCTGGCCATATTGTCATGAAATATTCATATTCACAGCTCCAGTGGGCACTCTTAAAATAGTTCTGCCATCCTCTAACAGTTTGGAGATAGTTTGGCAATCTTTCACATGTTAAGGCTTAGCTTTCAGTATCGAAACCGTATTGGACAGAATACAGAAGACATTAGTTTAGCTTTAGCACATTCATGTTCTCCACAGGATCCAAATATATACATTAATCAAATTATTTATAAATAAAACTCCCCAGAGAAACCCCACAATAAAGGAAGAGCAACTGAGCCTTCCTTTTGCACCAACATCAGGCAAAAATGTGATTATTTTATGAGAGCACAACACATAGAGAGATAACAGAAAAATGCTGGGAGAAAGGAAGGGGGATTTGCATGCATCACTCCGGACTCAAATAGGCAACCATGAATTGCATATTCATGGTTGCTGCCTTAAAGGAGAAATTCTGGCATATTTCAAACTGCATATTTACCATACATTTTTTATTATTATGAACCATCCCCAATACAGTTTTGAGTCCAAATAGATATTTTTCCAGCTAAATCTACTGTTTTTTCCGGTGCAACCAGAGAATGCATATTTGTCTTTTTTACTGGATTTTTAAAGGAATGTGAACATGCTGTATTTAAAAAAAAAAATCAAACAGGAGCTTTGCAGAGAGTGAAGACTTATATCTGCAGATTTTTCTCATCAAGAGGAAAATAAAAATGGTGCTTAAAACTGAGGTAAAGATTGCTGGTTCTATATCTGTTTAATGGACGTGTCGTCTCTCTCTGCCCACGCTGCAGATCTCAGTGCATCTGAAGGAAGGCACAGACTGTCTGGCCACCTTGAAGAATAAGCCTCAGCTCCACAGCCTGGTGGCCAAGCAGCTCTGCCAGAACATCTCTGGCAAGAACACCATCATCTTCACAGGGCCGTCCATCACCAGCCTCGGACTCTTCACCGAATTCAGCAAACAAGGTACACAAACAAATGATAACATCAGAAATCTGTTGCTCTGTCTTTGTAATACTGTTTAAATAAAACACCTTTTGTTTTCTAACTTCCTTCTCCTCTTCTGTCATCTCTCAACCTCTACCTTTTTCTGCTTTGGTTCACAGAGTGTAGTCGATCTCCCCTACTACCTTAATACTTTGTTTGTTTGTCTTTAGTCGTGTTGTTGTGACGAAAGCGTCAAACACTTAAAGGTGGGGTGGGTAATTTTGGAGAAACCAGCTCGAGTGCACTAGAATTTGAAAATACACAGCCGGAAAAAATCTGCCACTTCCTTACAGAGCCCCTCCTCCAACACACACGAACGCGCACATGACCAATGAGGGCACGAGATAAGTTTGTGCACAGATGGAGGGCTGACAGGCAGGTAGGCCATCCAGTTACTTTAGCCGGGCCGGCTAAAATGATTGGTCGTGCTTTTTACAGTACTACGGCTTCCACAGATGACATTTTTTTATGGATTTGTTGTCAAAGCACTTAAGATATTCATTGCTATCGGGATGTTAAGAGCATTCCATGGAATATAACAAAAAGTGTATCTCGAGCCGGTTTCTCAAACTTACCTACTCCACCTTTAAGAGAAGACAGACTGTTGCATTTCCCTTTCAAACTTGACTTCACAGCACTAAAGTATGCAGTCAGAATGATTCACTTTTTTTCTACATCTGTCCTTGTGCCCCAAGTGAAACATCTTAATCACATGGGGAGTGTGTAAAAGCACAAGCATGACTCATATGGCAATGCAAACATACGCTAGTAGACCGTATTGTATTTGTCATGTTATGCTTTTGTTTTACAGCTTGGGACCTAAACGTTTCTAAAACCAGTTAAAATGTTTTAAGAAAGTTGCTTGACATTGTAAAGAACAGGCATTATGTCTACATGTAATTCCTAAGAAACAATCCAAGCAATTTGCCACTCTTTTGATTTCATGGATAATTTGTACTTCTTTTAAGAATAATCCATCTTGACGACTGAATCTTAACTGTAGGGACTTGTCGGGATGGATGTTTTTTTTCTTTGCAAGATTAACCATCCTGCGATGCACTGCTGTAGACTGTTAATTGTCTTTTTATGCGTAATACATCAAGGGAGATTCAGCTAGAAGTACTTTGCTTTTTCATAGCTACAAAATAAATCAATAAAAAGCAGACACTTTAATAAGACACCATTTACAGTATAACACCTGACAACAAGAACCTCTGAATCCAAACAGGCTTTTTTGTCTTTCTGTTACTTACAGCAGTGCTTCTCAAACTTTTTTCAGTCATGTACCCCCTTTGAAACATTTTCTCAGCCAAGTACCCCCTGACCGACACCAAAAATGTTTGATCGAAAAAGCCTATACAAATATTTCCAATATAGTGATGTTCATTTCATTTCATCCCTTTATTTAGACAGATAGGTCCCTTGAGATCATGGATCTCTTTTACAAGGGAGACCTGCATCAATTTAGTTCCACATGAAACATAAAAACAACATAAAAACAAACAATAGAGGACATCATATTTACATATTCACCAACCCTTACAAACACCCATAGTGTCAGAAAGCATCTCGTGCAGACGTGCCTTAAAAACATTCAGAGAAATAAAATTGCTCAATTTCAATTCTTGCTGAAGATTGTTCCAAGCAAGTGGAGCTGCGCACATAAAAGCTGTCTTACCTAAGACAGTCCTTACTCTTGGTACATCTAACAAGACTACATCCTGCGATCTCAGACAATAGCTGCTTGCAACTTTCTGCTTTACCAGAGAACAGATGTAATACGGGAGTTTGCCCAACATAGCTTTATAAATAAAAGTGTACCAGTGACTGAGCCTCCGTACAGAGAGTGATGGTAAACCTGCCTTGGTATACAGTGTACAGTGATGTGTAAGCGCTTTACAATTTGTGACAAATCTCAAAGCACTGTGATACGCAGCATCCAATTTGCTCAGGTAATTGGCAGGTGCATTCATATACAACAAATCCCCATAGTCCAGCACAGGTAAAAAGGTCACAGTGACTAGCCTTTTCCTAGCCTCAAGCGAGAAACAGGACTTGTTTCTAAAAAAGAACCCTAGCCTAACCCTCAGTTTTTTAAGCAGGTTATTGACATGAAGTTTAAAAGAGAGACAATCATCAAGCCAGATACCAAGGTATTTGTAACAGGCAACAACTTCAAGTTTTGTTCCTTGCGTAGTTACAATATCTAAAACTGTTAGGTTTCCCGAGAAGTGACTGGAGATGAGAACCCGCTATGCAAGCACTACAACTGAGACTGTGGCCAAAAAGGCTTTATTTTGTCCACGACACTGACAAGGAGTTGACGAAGCACACGTAGAGGGAAGACGTAGAGCTGGGCTCTTCTGGAGGGGAGGCTGGACGTGGCAGGCAGAGCAGCTGGAGTATGTGGATCTGGAACAGGAAAAACAAGCAGGATTAGGAAATGATCTCCCTTCACTAGGAGCATCAAAAAAGTCACTAGGAAAAAACACTAGTAGGCCTGGACGATAGTTTACCACTGAAGAATAAACGAAGAACTGGTGAAGTCTGAAGATGGGAACCAGGGTTTTAAGCAGGTGCAGGTGAGTAGTGGCAATCAGTGAGATGAGCAGCAGCTGAGGCGGTGAGTTGGCGGGAATCGGAATGTAGGTAACGACGCCCAGCCAGGGAGACAGACACATAGACAAACAGACAAAACAAACACAGACAGGGGAAAAAGAAGGAGGAAGTACTGCAGATCCTCACAAAAACAGGCTCTGGTGTCTTTTTTGCTTTTGAAAAGAGCATTACCTTGGTTTTATCCACATTTAAAAGAAGCTTTAATTCAGAGAGCTGAGTCTGAATAGTGTTAAAAACAGCCTGTAATTTAACAACAGCCTCTTTAATGGAGGGACCTGCACAATACATCACAGTATCATCCGCATAAAAATATAAAGTAGCTTCATCCACATTATCACCTACGCTGTTAATATATATGGAGAATAAAAGTGGTCCTAAAACAGAACCTTGTGGTACACCATTAGAAATGTTTAACCACTCAGAAGACAGTCCATCAAAATGAACACATTGGGACCTTTCAGAGAGGTAGTTCACAAACCACCCCACTGCATGGCTGGATATGCCAATACTGAGTAGCCTCTGCTTTAAAATGCGATGATCAACGGTGTCAAACGCTTTGGAAAGGTCAATAAACAGAGCTGCACAACTCTGCTTATTATCCAAAATACTAGTAATGTCATTTACCACTTTCATTGTGGCAGTGATGGTGCTGTGTCTCTTTCTGAAACCTGACTGATGTCTAGACAGGATATCATTTATACATTAAAAACTCCTTTACTTGTTCACTCACAAGTCGTTCGAGCACCTTAGCCAGAACTGACAATTTGGAGATTGGCCTAAAGTTATTTAAAATAGTTGCCTCCCCTCCTTTCAGTAAAGGCAATACATAAGCAGACTTCCATACTTTTGGAATTGTATTTGTGCTGAGGGAGAGGTTAAAAAGAGAAGTAAGAGGTGGAGCAATAAAATCTGCAGCTATCTTTAAAAAGAAAGGTTCTAAGTTGTCCGGGCCAGCCGGTTTCCTAGGATCTAACTTGGATAATGCTTCATGAACAATACCAATAGTTAAAGGAGTAAAACTGAAAGGGTTTTCCAGACCACATTGTTCAGAGTCAAGGATTGGAGCGTTCACAGAAGCAGAAGTACAGTCAGTGACAGAATCAAACAGAGAGCCACAAGACACAAAATGCTTATTAAAGCAATTAACATAGTAACCCTGTCTGATATAATGCCAGATACTGTGGTGAGGCACGGAGGTAGCTCATTTGGGATATCACCAGTGGAAATCGATTTTATGACTTTCCAAAATTTCCTAGGATTATTCAGGTTTTCTGTGGTAACTGACAAATAGTACTTTGATTTAGCACTTTTTATTTGAGATGTGAAGCTATTTCTTAGCTGTCTAAAGCGTAGCCATTCTACCTCTGAGCCTGATTTCCTAGCCTTAGCCCAAGCATTATTTCTCTCATGAAGTAGACTGGACAGCTCAGCAGAAAACCAGGGATTGTTTCGTCCCTTTACTCTAAATTTACGCAGAGGTGCATGTCTATCTATAATTTTCATAAAACCAAGATAAAAATAAGACCATGCAGTTCTCATTCATAACACTCCGTTCGATGTCTCACTATGGGATGCGCCTCATCGCGGAGCAAACAGAAGCATCAATCTCATTACGCCAATCCTGATTGGCTGGTGATCTTGACGTCAGCGTCAGGGAATTCACCCCCTATAAGTAGCTTGCGCCACGACGCATGCGTCATTCAAACACCTCTTCTCGCTTCAGAGCACATCTCTATAGTAGCCGGACAAGCTTAACGGTCCACAGACTGAACCCAAATATAACCATTTCGGTCGACGGGCGCTCGCCGGCTACTCCTTCTGCTTCGCAAGAAGACGGTAATACTAACGCCAGTTAGTATTAAAATCGACCTCGCCGTTTCTTTCACCGGAAAGTAAGGAAAGGTTTTGATTTTTCTCAAGCTAGCTACGCACCTGTTGCTAGCTAGCTTCCCCTTACTACCGACACCACAGTAGCGAGGACGCTTTTCTTTTTCTCTCTCACGGAGGAGAAAAGAATTAGAAGTATATTGACACACCAGTCAATATTCTTTGAGAACAAAGGACCCACACCATCCCTTTTTCTCCGGATTAAGGACGGGTTGGTAACACTTTTTCTCTCAACGACGTACCTGTTACGAGCGGGTCCTCTCCACGCCACGAGGCGAACAAGATGGACGCCTCTCCCCCTCACACCAGAGGAGTCAGGGACTCGGAGGCTCGGTCATGCGGCTGCGGGTTGAAGATAGCAGGTACAAACTCACACCAGGTCTGCTCGTCCTGCCTCGGGCTGGAACACGCCCAGGAGGCTATCGACAACCCCGGCTCGTGCGGGCGTTGTGCCCGTTTGACCCGAAAGAGCC